CAATAAAAGATCTTTATATCCAAATGCCAACAATAATTACATATTATAATAATCCAAACATAGCAACTATAATCCGCAACTTTTTAATGATATAATCCTACCTCTTTTTAATGATATAATCCTACCTCAAACTTATCAACATTGATAATCTAATTCAATATATTCAAAGCATGCAAGATATTATACAAAACAAATATATAAAATGATCACTCAACATAGCAAACTAACCACAGACATTGTATACATAGATTAGAAAGCCTTGATCCTTCTTAGCAAAGTCTAGGTCGAACGTAAAGCAGCATTAGTTTCTAGTTCCCTAAACGTATTGTATGACATTACATCATGTAAATTTCCCATATAATAACAAATAAAGGAATAGAGGCCAGGCCTTGCTTTTTTTTTAAAAAAAAAAAATAATAATAATTTTCACGCGAGTGATATATAATCCACCCGTTAGGTAACCCGTGTTGGAGACTTTTAGTTGATCTGGTTTCTTCATAGCTAAAAAAAAAAAAAAAGCTTGCATGCCATACGATATGCCATCTGCTTAAGTTCGTGCCAGGATGCCACCCTGACATGCTATTAGACCATGTGATGGATATACTCAACTTGGATTGGTTAGTTCTTATATACATACTATAAAATCGGCTTCCGGAATATTTCAGAACTTTCTTCAATTTTCTGAATTTGTACTCGAATTGATCAAATTACTAATATTACGCATATTGATAATAATATTACATTTAATTGGTTGATCGAGAATTTATCATCGCACAAGATTAAAAAAAAAAAATTACGAAGCTTATTTTTTATAATATATAGAATAAATTCGTATGTTTTAATTCAAATGTAATACAAAAAAAAAATAATAATCATAATAGATAAAAATCAAATTGCAAAATGATTAGTGCGTGAATTGAGGGTCATCACAACACCCGTCTGTCCGGGTATCAAACCCTTACAGGCGCGTACTGCTCCGAGAACTATACACCAACCGGATAATTACTAATTGATTTTTTCATATTAATATGTTTATACGTTATCCTGCATCAAAATCTATCTGATTGGCTTTGATTATTGAATTTTATTGGCTATTTATATCTCTTTATACGATTAATCATACGGTCTGACAAATCTCCAATGTAACATCAGAGAATAAATTTTTTATCGATTGTTATTATAAAAAAATTATTACTCGCTATTTGTAAGTATAATAAGCTGTTAAAGAAGTTCGTTCTTTGACATCACTTTCACTTGATTTCGATCTCTCGAGTTTATTTTAAAATTTATACATTAGTAGTTTGTCAGCTGTCTCCCGGAATTAAACAAGCCAATCATAATGATAAGGTAATCATATGATTAAAGGTGAATTTCTAATCAACTACCAACTCTGAACGGCCTATTTCTAGAATTTTTTATAAAAAAAAAACAATATTTCAAAATTTTAAGGAGCTTCAACCAATAAAATATTACTATTTTTTTTTTCAAATTGATAAGTTATAATCGATTTTAATTATTGGTTGGATCAAGTCAATGAAAAATATCAACCAATCATGTAATACATGTGATCTGAAACTTTTTACTAAAATTCGAACGTTTCGAGTTTTAGATCATACTTGTTAAATCTATACTAGATCATTATTGATTTACTATTTAAATTATTCAGGATAATAAATGCATATTTGAATATTCGGTGAATGACTAATATTCAATAATATTTGGTTATTAAATGCAAAGTATCCAATAACTAGAATTTTAAGTACAATAACAGATAATGAGAAATTATTCGAATTGTTTGAATAAGAATTGTTTATTCAAGTAAGATTTATTTATTCGAGTAAGATTTATTTATTCGAAGGAGATTTGTTTGTCCAAATAAGAATTTTTTTTTTCGCGTTATTTTGCAGAATAATTAATTGGAAGGTTTTTTTCGAATATTTGTCAAATGCGAAAATGATTTTCGAATATTCGTGGATTACAAAGATGATTCGAATAATGATTACGAATATTAATGTAAGGTTTAAAACCTTGACCGGATCTCTAAATCGGAACCGGGACTCACTTATTTAGAATTCTATATGTCTTTATAAATTCTAGATCAAATTTTTAATTTAAATTTTTTTTTTCACAAAGTTTTTTTTTTTTTTTTGAAACGTTAGATGATTTTTTTTTAGAATAAGACTAAAAGGATTCGGGAAAATGAACAAATTTTTTTGGTTTGTCACGTAAATTATTAGAACAATTGTAATGATCTACTTTATTGTTAATATTTCGGATATTACCCAAGAAAGTTGGCTCGACCACACTTGTATTTTAGACGTGCAGTTTGACATGTAACACATACCAACCAATCATAGATTTACAAGCAGCAGTACGAGTAGTCTAACGCTAAGGGTTTTGTAAATCTTAATAAGTTCAAGTTACTTAATGTGTGCAAATGAAGACATAACGAGTTTATTTTAACACTAGCACTCTTTTTAAATAGATCCCTTTTTTTTTTTTTTTTTTGTAAATTAAAGTCTGATTATTAAAAAACCAATTAATTTCAAGAAAAAGGAAGACCCTTTTTTACTTTAAAAGATAATGCCAAGATAGCTTAGTAAATATATTATATTTTTACATACATTCAGTGATGCAAAAATAAGTTAGATTCATTAAATTTATATTACTATATAATCGGATCATTTAACTATAGTTTCGAATAGGTTTGTTTCAGGTCACATGTATAAATGTATATTTTAAACCTATCTATACTTTATATACATGAGTATCGACAAAATCTTTATTTTCATGATTTCATATTATTGCATTCATAAAAAACAATAAATTTGTTTATATTAATAGTCTAAAGTTAAAATTCAGATTTTCATATTGAAATGAAGTTTTCTTTCGTCAAAGACATTTTCAATTGGGGCAACCCCCAGTCAAGCAAATATCTTATTGGAAAAAAAATTTCCTGTTAAGGAAATGCCTATTCACGTAAATGTCCTGTCCTGTCAAGGCAAAAAGCATACTTATCAGAGTAAAAAAATGCAGTTGGGAAATGAAATGTCAAGAAAATTCTGTTCGTGATATTAGGAAACCAACACTTTTTGCACTTTTTGCAGGGGATATGTATTCTAAGCGGTTGAGGCATCACAACCGGATTATTAGGTGTACCAGGGTGTTTGTTATACTATGTGAAATAGATATGTAATTGCATTTTGAAATATCTAATGCATATGTCAGAATAATCAGAATAATTAGAATAATTAGAATATAGAATCTTTCAGAAAAAATTAAAAAATCAGCATTTTTATTTTATTTTATTTTTTTAGTTGAATTGATAATTTTTACTACATTATAATGATGAATAGTTTAATTTTTAAAAAGATAATTTTCCAAAAATAAGTGGAAATTACAAAGTTATGTTCGGTCAAGTATATTTTACGCAAGCGTCACATGAAGAGAGGATTAATACGTATGTACTGTACATAATTTTATGGTATTGGTTACTTACTACCCTTAGTTAAGTTAAATGTACCTTACGTAGTTAAATGTATTTAATTGTTAGAATGGATATATTTCTAGGAAAGAAGGGATTCAAGCGAGCCAATTAGCGGCATCTTGACCAAGCGTTATGTATTGACCATGAGTATAATATGGATAAGAATAACCAATATAATTCCCTTTTCAATCGCGTGAGAATTCTTTTAAAATTTGTCACCAATAATAATATTGAGAGGGGATGTATCTTAAAGGACCATGTGATATTAGTCAAAAATGGTAATGTTTTAAACTTTAAGTAGCAGCAGTAACAAATATTTTTAAAGCGAATACTAATAATACTAGATACTTTAAATCATACATCGCAGATTTTTTATTTTTTTTTTCGAACGAATCCTTTGCATCGTTTCGAATCCCTTAATTATTAAAGCATACTTATTCTTTAAATACTAGTTAGTATATACAATATTAGTAAGTTAACATCAAAGTATAGTTTGGTGTTTGCATAGTAATGCATAAAGAAAATGTTGCATCATATCACAAAAACCTTTTGCCGGTCTAGCCCAACCCTAATTTAATTTTCGAGGCGAGGAGTAAACGTCCGTTTTTAGAAAAGAATTTCAAAGATTTAATGCTTAAGGGACCAAATCGTGCGTTGTTAGATATCTCGTTAGCATTTATTACTACATATTAATAATTTGTTTTGTAACAAATTTTTTTTTTTTAGCATAAAAATATTCGGTTTTGACAACTTACTAGGCATCAAAAGGAAAATAAAAAGGACCTATCGAAACTTTTAATATATAATAAAAAAAATAACATAATGCATTAATCGAATCATGCACAATTTTTAACAAATTGATGATTGTTTACATCATCTTTTAAATACATGATGTTTATATGCATATTTGTTTGTATGCGTTGTACTTTCACAAAGTTTTTTAATCAAAATCCCTGCGTCTTCTAACTTTATTGGATTTTTTTTTTTTACCTAATATTCGCTACATACTGCATTAGATGCATATATTATTGGGGTGTAAAAGGAAACGACTGAATGATATGAATACATTTGTGCGTTTATGAAATATGTTCTTTAGTGGTTGGACCACTGATGAACCATACACAAAAAAAAACAATCGAACAATTACAAGAGATGTGGTTCACTACATCTTTTATTTGCATAAATGAAAACTTTCTTTGGAATAATGATAATAAAGGTATATAAGCAATAAATGTCTTGCAATTTCATTCTTTATAAAATTTCAAGCAAAAAAAAAACCGCTTTTTCATATATATATATATTTATTTATATATTTATATATGTTTTATTCTTTTTATTAGTGCTTACCATTTTGTCTTTCCTTTAATAAACCAAACATAAGAAGGAGGAAATTAATTTTTTTCTCCTTTTTATAAAATATAATACGTTACTTCAACGTAAAAAAAAAAAAAAATCCAAATAAATATATAATAAAAAAATGTGCTGCTCTATGATAAACTATAATCCTATGAAGATGACTACAATTTCATCACTTCCCGATGACATTCTTTATATCATCAGTAAAGATTTAGGATTTCTTTCAACTTTAGCACTTCGTTCTACATGTAGAACACTTTATTTATCATTTTCAGATGCAGTTACATTTTCTCATGTATTTATCCCACCCTCCATTTCCCATGATCAATTCGCCAAATTATTTTCACATTTAAAATCGACTAATAAACTCCCATTTATTCACCAATTTACATTCAATAATTCACAAATAAAAGCAGATGAAGTGATTTCTGTATTAGAAAATTGTGAAAATTTACAAGAATTATATATTCTAGGATGTAAAGAGGTAAAATTATTACCAATAACAACAGCCATGAAAAATTTATATCAAGAAAATTTTGAAAATTTAGAAGATAAAAAAAAATTCATGGCAAAAAAAAGATTAGAAAAATTAAAAAAAATAGTATTAACTAGATGTGTTGGTGGAAAAAGACATTCTTTAATGATTAAAAAAATTTTAGAAGATTTACAAATTTTAAAGAAATACCAACGACAAGAGGATTTCAATAAAGGAAGAAAGATTAATAATAATAATTATTATAATGAAAATCAAAACAACGCATTTGGCAAGTCGTACAACATCGATACAATTTCAACAATTTCAGCTACAATGTCAAATATGATGCCTGCCGTTTTGATGTCAAATTCTGTCAACATTTACACAAATGTCAACCTCACAAATCCAATAGCATGTAATAAAAACAATAATGAAAAAAATGATGCAAATGACGGCATATTCCAATTCCAATCATGCTCAGATCTCTCATGCGAACTTTGTACTCAAAAATGTGCTGGATGTAATACAAAATATAAATATTGGGATGAGTTTTGGATTAAGTGCGGTTGGTGTAAAGATAGACATTTTTGTGGTGGATGTGTTATAGAAGCTTCAAAGAAGAATGTTTTTAAAACTTATGCATTTCAATTTATGAGAATAAAATTATGTCAAATGTTCGATTTACCTTGTCCTCATTAGATTTTTACGCGTAATTAACAGAATTAGCAAACCATTTTTATTAAAATGCGTAAATATTAAACTTTTGTTTTTTTTTTCCCCCGATAATAACAATAATAATTTGTACCATTTTTCTTTTTTTTTACATTTTTCCTCATCATCTTTTTGCAATTTCCATAAATTTCATCATTTGCATATTTTTATTTTTCAGCTTAGTAATTCAGATTACCGATTGTATATATCCTCAACGAATGAATAATAAATTAATGATAATAAAAACAAAAAAAAAAAAAAAAAAAAATACTAGACACGAAATTATAATAATTGCAGACATTTATAAGGTTAGAGGTAGTTTGTCAAACAGCTACCTTCTTGCGTCATAAAGAACTATACGTCACTGCCATGTGGTATTTCCATGTTATTTGATAGTTCTCCTTACCCGAAATAAATCCCTGAAAGATTCTTAGAAAATCACTATTGCTAATCAAGGGTCTCAAAAGGTTTAGTGTTGGTTATAGGAGATATGATTCCGTGTCTGCCCGCTGCTTGTAACATGAACACAGAATGAAAACATTAGACAATTCTGACGATGAATTGATTTATAATTACTATAAGAGGTAACTTGATACTGCTGCCTACTACGCAGAAATAGGATTGGTGTATCATATTCTAGAGGACGACTAAAGTAAGTTATAAAAATCTATTATTAACGTTTTTCAAATTATATATTGTGATGATTCATGATCGCTCATCACAAAAAAAAAAATCACAAAGAAATCTAGAAATTTTCATAATTATAGCAATTTTTCAGGAAATCAAATTTCAATTCTCAAGATTCTTTGTAGAATTATTTTTTTAGTAACATACTAAAACTGTTAGTTTGGCAAAATCATATCAAAATTCACAGCCTTTTTATTATACATTGTTCAACCGACAGTCTGTCAGTTATATATTGGAGATAGTCGGATCTTCAATTTTTACTAATCATAATTATGTTGTTGAAAACAGCTGTAATACTAATGAATCGAAATATAGTGGGAAATATCGGCAATTTTGATTTTCAAAGAGTTGATTATGAAAAGTGTCAAAATTTTATTATGGGCGATCATCGGGTGGTCAATAATCGAATCAATAATTGAATCAATAATTGAAAAAATAAAAACATCAAAAAAAAATTTGATGTGCGCATGTGAGCTCCGCATACTCTGAGCTAGCTTGGGATGAAAACCATTAACAATCTTACACAAAAAAAAAAAAGATCAATTTTTTTTTTTACGTATTCTTTTACAAAAAAGGAATTATAGACATCTCGCGCAATATGTGAAATAAAGAATCTCCTGTACAAAATCATATGATATAAGGATTAGCAATAAAGTCCTTTATCTAAAATTTATGTGTTGTTAGAACTGTTCAGAAAAAATTTTTTTGCTAGAGTACAAAAGATGGTTGGTTGCTTATGTGAATCTTCAAAAAATAACGATAACGATAAGCGATTTGAAAAACTATCATATTACGTTACACTAAAATTCGGCTAAATTATGCCTAAAATTTTTTTATTACGTATTAAGAGCAGGTGATGATTATGATCCTAAATATATTCAAATCCAGATTTGACTATTTGGACTTTAATCATCACCTGTTTTAAATCGGTGAAAAAATGGTTAAACCTGTTTTTCTTTTACCATCTCTAGAGACTAGTGCATGTAGTCGATTTTATGCTAGATTTTATTAAAAAATATTAAGGCCGATTTTGCAGTTTACATTATCCCTCCTGAAAAATGCCGAAAAAGAAATTCAACGAACATAAAATGCGAGCAAGGTCGTGGCAAAATTTTAAGCCGATTTTTAAATATCGACTTGTCAAGTCGATAAATAATGATCTACTATAAGCACTACTAACACCCACTGGCATATTTAGACAATAATAAAAATTTAGTTATTCTTTATCAATGAAATTAGCCAGTTATTGAAACATTTTAAAAATTTGAAAAGCATAACCGATATTAATTACGTAGTAGAAAAATCAGGTACAAGCCAATCATAAACATGTATTTTACATGTTGAAATTTCAGTGGTGATTATAACACGGAATTGAAACCCGTAGGTTTTTTTTGATGCAGATACTATTTTAGGTAGTGATATGCATCAACTACGTAACACCTCTCTGACGCGAATTTCTATCGAATTATTTTGGCATTGTTTAATCAATAATCTTTACTGATTTTGAAAAGCTACATTTTTTTTATTACCAAAATTTGCTAGCGATTAACACAAATGTTATCATGTGTCCTATTAATTTTCAAACCACAAATTTCGAATTTCAAATTCTTAGATTCCAGTGTGGCGTTGTGATGCTGATCATAATAATTTGAAAAGCGCAGTAAATAAAATTACAATTCTTCTTTAGTGTTAGCATATTTCTATATAAGGGTCCCATGAATAATATTAATAATGATAATATTATTAAGATTACCGAAAATATGCACACGTAATGCTGGCCATAATTATTGTAAAGTGGACCAAAGTTGGCATAGTGTAGTCCAGGGGTGCTTTTCCAATACGGCAATAATAATAATAACGATAACGATAATAATATTATTCTTCTTAAAATAAGCACAATAGTATAGTGTTGGCCATTTTAGGCCATTATCCAACTTTACATTACCAAGGAGGTCATAATAAGTCATAAAGTCATGCGTAACCAATAATTAGTCAGTAGGTCATAATAGGTCATACGTAGAATGATCTCTTAAATTAGATTAGAATATGTTAAGCAAACACCCCTATATTATAAACCCTTCCCGCACGTACGTACCAATGTTACTCTTTATGTACTTTAAAAAAAAATTTTTTTTCAAACATTAATCAAAAATTTAATCAAAAATTTAATTGGTTTAATTCAGTCATTAGGGTTAGGTTTAGAATTAATATTAATATTAGTGCAAAAATATATGTTGGTAAAATTAGCGATGAAATATGTATTCTGTTAGTAACCTTTTTTTTTTTTTTTTTTTTTTACTATCATTATATAATCAATTTTATAGTAATACTTATCAATTTTCTTAGATAATCGTTTCGTTTTCAAGTTTCAATTTATGCATGTGCAATTATATAAAATAACCAAATTGATCCATTAAATAATTTTCAAATTTTACTAGTCAAAAAATGTTACGTATGAATGTTGATTATCCCCACTACAATGAAAGAAATGCATATGATTATAGAATAATTTTTATTATCACCAATAATATAGAAGGTCCAAAGATTTTAACGAACTGAGTAATTCATACAATATCATAAATTGGTAATGATCGAAAAGGATCGGTGAATATTTCAAAATTGATTTTTTTTGTATTGATGACCTGATTGATGGCATGATTGATTAAACAAGTAATTTCGAACTTGAAAAAAAAAAAAAAAAACTTATATATAGCTCCATTTATCGGAAATCTAAAAAAAAATAAAAAAAAATCTTTTTAGATTACTATTCGTAATCTTTATTGGAAAAAATTTTATAATTCTAATCTTATCAATTTGTAAAACAAATATTACAAAATGGTTGCAAAGCACAGACAAATACCTTTAAAAATACTTGCAATAGGAACAGTTCATGAAGACATTATACTTTATGTTGATAAGTTAGATTCTGTGGATAATATGCAAGGAACACAAAAAATCGAAAAAAGATTCGGTGGTAGTGCTGGAAATACTCTTGCGGTTTTATCCCAATTTCCCATGACAAGATCTTGGGTCATGGCTCCTATGGCTTGTAAAGAGGCATCAAAGTAAGCATTTATTTTCTATCTATTAATATCAACAATAATTAATTATTTACAATGATTCAATAGAATTAAAAAAAATTTTATTTTTTTTTAATAATTTCAGAGTTTTCATTCAAGATTTCGAATCACGTAATATTAAAACTTCAACCTGCGTATTTAGGCCGTATGTAGAACACCCTCAGACTACATACTTTATTCATACTGATGCTGAAGATTCAAGAGCTGTTGTAAATTATAACAGGTAAATTATCCTCTATTTATTCTATTTATTGAAATTATCATCTCTTTATTATATTTTTCTTACATTTAATTGATAATTTTTTCATATATCTAATTTGTAATATTACAGTATAGAAGAATTAACATTTGAAGAATTCAAAAGAAAATTCGATTTTATTTGCACTATTGAACTAGCTTCTCTAAATACTTCATTACCTTTCAATTGGATCCATCTTGAAGGACACAATGCAGATGCGAAAAAAATGATTGATTATATTGACTCAAGAGTTTGGAGGAATAAAACTATTATAAGTGTCAAATTAGATAAACCTTATAAAAAAGGATTAGAAAGTTTAATGAAAAAGGCCGACGTCATATTTTTCTCCCAAGTCTTTGCTGAAAGTAAAGGTTATGTTCGTGATGCTGCTTTTGACTTTTTAAAATTTATGGGTAAATTTTGTAAAGAAACGTAAGTAATAATATATTATTATATTTCCTAATATTTACTATTTATTATTTTATTTTATTTATTTATTTATTTATTTATTTATTTATAATCTTTTTCATTTAACGTTTAAAAAATAGTGCCTATTTATTTTGTACATGGGGATCATCCGGTGCAATGTTTTATAACAATAAGTCCAAAAGAGTTTATGCTGTGTCTGCGATGCAAGTACCAATTGTAGTTGATAGTGTAGGAGCAGGTGATACATTCGTTGCTTGTGCAATATACAGTCTAGTTCAAGGGATGTCTCCAGAAGGCTGTTTAAGATTTTCTTGCGAATTAGCTAGTAGAAAATGTGCTCAATTCGGATTTGATGGTATGATTGATGAAATGGGTAAATTATTTTGACTATATGGTCGGAATGAATCTTCTTCTACATCTTCATCTGTTAAAAAGACAGGACGTTTACGTAAAATGCTTAAATCTACTGGACTATTTGAGTTAAGAAAAAAACAAAAACCTCAACCTATTAATGCGATAGATAGTGGTTTTGCTGATGATAATGATAGCATATATAGTTTTTGTCAATATGATAATTCCATTAACAATACATTTACTAATAGTATTGATAGTAACAGTACATTTTCTAATAGTATTGATAGTAACAGTACATTTACTAATAGTGTTGATAGTAACAGTACGTTTACTAATAGTATTCATAGTAACAGTACGTTTACTAATAGTGTTCATAGTAACAGTACGTTTACTAATAGCGTTTATAATAACAGCATGTTTATTAATAATAGTATTTATAATAACAGTACATTCATTAATAGTAGGAATAATAGTAGACATCTTATAAAGGAAAAGCATACCAAAATAATATAGATTATTATAATTCTGGTTGATACGGATAGAGTAGTTTGTCTTGCGTTAGGGTGAGATTTGATTATTCATTATTGGGTCAAACATTGTATATATAATTATAATAAATATTCCTTTTTTAGATTGTTTTATATATCATACCCTAATTTAAAAAATAGATTCTTTTCACATATACATCACTTTGGTTATACTGGATATAACGACATCATAGCAAAATCTTTCTATGCCGACATTCTTTTTTTCAAATTTTAAATATAAAATGTCGGTATAACTCATTGTATCGACATTTTGAATTTTTTTTTACTAAGCTTTTAAGATATAGATTAAGACTGTAGACGTTAGCATAAAAAAAATTTAATATCATTTAAACATTTTAATAGATATACTTTTATAATAAATTTATAATTAAATCTGAATTTTATTATATCAAGAATCATTTTAATATATATACTTTTATAATAAATTTATAATTAAAACTGAATTTTATTATATCAAGAATCATTTAAATAAATAATAAAATGCTTAATCTTTTTTTTTTTTAAAAAAAAACAAATTTCACTAATTTCGACATTAATTACAATAATCTTTTTCTATCGCTATGATAATCTATACGAATTCATTCAAACATGTGATAATTGCCATCTTATATATCAGATGACCTTACGGATAGTCAAATAGTTTACTATCATACATTTAGGATTCAATATTTTTTTACTACGTATATCGGTATAATTTCGATTTTAATCAAAATGTGACTATTGATCACAAACCAATCATATACAAATTTTTTTATTAACATAATCCAAATTTGTGTTCGTATTATTAATTTTTTTTTTCAACAATTACTTTTCTAAAAAAATAAAAATTTCAAAACTTTTACTTTTTTAATACGACTGTTTTTTTGCTTACCAATTATTTTAAATATTAGTTGCTTATGTAAAAATTGGGTTAAAATTTTTAAAGAAACATATAATCTACAAATACGTACACCTCTAAATAAATAATTATATTAGTTAAAATAGATAGAATAATTATTGGGGGATTTTTCGAAAATAAAAATAAATTTAGATAATTTTTAAAAAATGAAGTTTTCATTTTATTAAAATTTATAATTTTATTATTGTAAGTTGAATTTATTAAATAAAATTATTTAATAGTTTAGAGCTTTTGAATTAGCATAAATTACTTTGGTTGATTAACGCGTCATTAGATTGATTACCTTTACTCTTTCAAATGTCTACACTTATACTACAAACTAATATCAAATATATATTTTTAATAAAGTATTTGGTACTAATAAACGCCGGTATATTACAGCTATTTTCAGAAGTTCCGGAACAATTAAAAAAATTTCATCTATAAGTTACCGACATTATTTTTTTTTTATGACAAACGTTAGGTAAAAATTATAAACTGCCAGGGAAATGAACTTGTCTGAGAATTAATTGTCTATGAAATAGGTGCCTACGAGGTGAGCAACACCACACAATAATCTACTTTTCGTGCACTAAGAGTAAATATTTGAAGATTATGTTAAATGTCATATCTTCGATGATTATTTCATCGACATCACGTAAGTGATGATTAATATTTAAAGTTTGATGATGATTAGTAATCGTCTTTAAATATTAATCGTCACTCTACGTTGATGATTGCCGAAGAAACAAATATCAGGAAATTATATGGACCATTTATTATCATTAGAACTGGAAAAAACTGGTTGATTTCTAATAAGTCTTCGTTGATGCTTCGGACAAATAGAATGAATCAGTCCATTTTTAAAAGTTTCTATTTCAAGTTCATTTTGCGGATCTTTTTGTTATACAATTAGATCTTATTACTTAATGATTAGATCCTATTACTTAATGATTAGATCTTATTACTTAATGACCCAAATAGTTATCACAATTTTTAAAATCGCGTTAATACATATTTTATTAAATTTGTTGAAATTTTAGGTGATTAATATTTGTAACTATAATGGAAAATTCTATTTTAACCTGGGATTAGTACTTGCATCCGTTATCCATTTCCATATTAAATTTAATGGATAACGGATGGAAACTTCATGCATGATATTTCCCAGATTTTCAGAGTAATCAAGACTCGCACTAATCGAATTTTTAACTTTTACTAAGCAGAATTTCGATTTCCCACAAGGGTATATGGAAATCGTATTCCACATCTTTTTGAAAACAGCTTAAAGTAAACATACTTTCAATAATAAGTTATATAATAAGTTATATAAAGCAAATATAATTTAAATTACGTGTTATAAAACCAAATATCTCAAATTACTAGTTTGGAAAGTAAGTATATTCCGTTTAGCATATTAATTATTCGTCAACTGGAAATTTTGTATTTAGCAAACCCCATATTCCTTTTCAAAAATAACATCTCTCCATCAATTTGGATCAAGATTTGTGTCGTTTTACTGTAATATTGTTTTCAACATCTGAAAACGGGACACTTAAAGATCAAGGAACTCATATGACACTAGGAATTAGTATGTGATGTGATTATCACGAATATATCACTGGGCTCAATCTTGCGTTTATTGGAAAAAGGGACGAAAATGACAATTTTTTGAAATGAATTTTTTTTACATAAATCGATTTAAAATAAATTTAGGATGAATCTTTACTTAAGATACAAAAGTTGTTGTATTAATAAAAGTTTGCAGTATATCTCTTTCAAGTTTGAATTTTCTCATGATTTATTATAAAATTTATAACAAAAATTGATTTTCCTTTTTCCAGCACAAAGCCCATATTTTTTCGGCAATTTTTGATAATATTAATTATAAGGCGTCATAAATTTATTATTAATCATTTTAAACTTCGTAATATATAATTATACATTAATAATTAACTCGTGAGTAATTCGTGAGTAATTCGGGAGTAATTCATGAGTAATTCGTGAGTAATTCGTGAGTAATTCGTGAGTAATTCGTGGGTAATTCGGGAGTTAAACTTTCATGATCCGAATCATGTAATTTGTAATTTCGAATTATTCGAGTCACGAGTTGACAAGTCCAGTCACTAAACAGATCCAAGCTATACCTGAGATAAAGTCACTAAACTATTAGTGATCCCACTCTAGTTTATTCTGCTGACCTTAATCTACGTGAAAAATAGAATTCTTAATTTGACTGATTTAAAATTTTCTCATGTAAGTGATCGAAAAAATTAAGGTGTAACATGAAGTTGATTTTAGCCAATCAAAAATTCTTGCTGATTATTCAGGAGGCGGTCATGTTTAGTAAAGAGTAAGAAGAACAATAAAATATCATAATTTTCATGTTTGAAGTTATGAGTTTATACTTGTTAATTCTATAATTGTGTAATAATTATGTGTTTATGAATAGAATGCCTTGAAGTACTTCAGTTTATTTATAGAACAATACTTAAAACTCAAAATTTTACTAAGAGTTGAATTCGTATGATATATTTTTAATACCTTTAATATTAAATTTCAAATAAGTCAAACTGTTTATGCGTGAGTTTTTTTAAAAATTGACTAGTAGCTTAATGGTAATTATATTGCATCATAAGTTATTTATTAGTTTTTTTAAAAAAGAACTCGCGTAAAAAGTTTCGAAAAATTAAAACAAGTCACATGGTTATCAATGCAGATTTCAACGCCAATTTATAATCTTAAACCATTAAATATTGTACCTTGCAGTACGAAATACCAATAACAAAGAAGTTGTAGAAAGTAATAATTAAGTAGTCATTAAGATGTTAATCACATAATTTCGTACATTCATTCGAATAAATTTGTAAAGTCATTTTTTGTATCATTAAGATGCTAATCACATAATTTCATACATTCATTCGAATAAATTTGTAAAGTCATTTTTTTGTATCAAAATTTACTAGGCTATCTTCTTTTCTTTATAATATGTAATACTAACTCACATCAAAAATAATGCTAAAAGTATATGCGGCGTAAAAAAGAATAAAAAGACTATTAATGAAAAAAGGAAAAGAAAATTCCGATTCACAAATGATTTCAAGTTAGAAATCTTGATTTAAGCTTTATTAGATTTAGATTTCTTTCTTTCATTCCATAATTATCAATCATCTGTAATTTGTTTTTTAATCAATGTAAATCCTCTTTTGTTGATTATTGCATCACATAAACTATCCATATTTTGCTTAAGTATTTAAATTCAACATTTAGACATCCTAGTTTTTACCTAGAGCATTTTCTTTGTCTGTGCCCATTTGTCAATCTGGACGATCCAGAAGTCAATTTACCCAAATTTATCTAAATATCTGGCCTAAATTAATTTGTTTATAGTGATAGTTTAGTTAGACTAATTTTTGATAAATTGACATTTGGGGCACGGTAAATATTTGTCGCTGTACGTACGTACTCATTTTTGAACTGCCTTATTTAGGCTGTTCTCGAGCGCCTCCCTCAATCTGTTTACCAAATAATCTGATTGGCCGAAAAAATTGATCGTGACTATCACTTAGATCAGAGCTATGAACACCGTTTCATAGAGCTTCTTCATAGGCAGAAGCTTGTCTGATTGGCTAGCGTTATATTAATTGCCCGGGTAACTAATTTATATATTTAGAGTACATTTTAAGAATGCATCATCACACTCGTCCAAACATCGTTTCTAGCTTCGAAAGAGTGCCAGAAAGTTAACTTTAAAAATATGTTCTAATAAGATCTTATCTGCTCTTCCGTCACCTTAAGTGGCGAATTCAATGTGATTTAATGGTTGGTAGATCTGAAAATTCAGCCAATAAGATAAACTTCTGCCTATGAATAGCTATTATGTTTGGTTAAAATTTAAAAACAGTATTTCGAACAATGAATTTTTAACAATTCGTTCTTTAATTAACCGCATTAACCATTCAATTAATCGTAAGGATTTGAGCAACTTCTTGATCACTAACTAATCATATTGAGGGTGTCATAAATGAGTTTTTCATTCTAATCATAAAACTTTTTACAACAAACCACTTTTTTTTTTTTATATCTGC